GGGGCGAGGCCCACAGGATGCGGGCGGTTGCTGCTTGGGGCCGGCCTCCGGGAGGGGAGGGCCGGGCGGCAGCAGGTATCCGTGTGCACCGAGAGTGGGAAGAGCTGCGCAAGCACGGCCTGCAGGCCTGGATTAGGAGTAGCCTTCTGTCCCAAAGTTAATGGATGCAGACGGAATGCTATCGGTCTGCACAGTGTTCTGGAGAGTTAGTTCAGGTCATGGAAACTGAGGGGGGCGGGGGACCATCAAAAATAAAATCTGCCAGCCAAGAATCTGTTTTCCACAAATGTAAAAAACTAAACGTCACAGGCAGTCTGCTTAATGCTGTTCCAAAACCAGGCTTCCCGCCTCTGTGTAGCCGGGCAGATGGAGCCCAGGATAAATAACTGTAAGAGGACTGGACAACTCTTGGCTATGCATAGTTCACTCTAAATTCTCTGGTCATTGGAGCAGTTGCTTCTGTTGGCTAATTGCCTTTATGCGGAGGCAAAATAAGACATCTTCATGATAAACAAGGTAGTTGAAATATGGAAGCAGGTGCCGTGGTTCCCACAGAACGGAGGAGATTGGGGCTCTATCTTCTGTACCGTTTACATTTCAGAGGCTTCCAATCCTTAAGAAAAAGTTCTTAGGTTTTAAAACTGGCTTTTACTTTTTAAAAACTTGCATTTATATTAAAGGGAAGAACAAAAGACTTATAAATACAAATTTGCTCATGAAATGCTCTGAGAAAGGGAATGAAGGGGTCTCTCCATTTTGTTGAAATGTGTGTTCACCGTTGCATGTGAAGCCTAATTTGATGTCCATCTCTGTGTCAGAGCTATTTCTGTATAAGTAACTGGGATGGTGGGCTGGACCCACATACCTTCTCACTTATATTAACTCGACTGTTGAATAGTGACAACGTCTTGCTTTTAAATTTCCAGTTCCTACACTCGTTATTAGGTTGTGTCAGACAACTTTAAAAATAAGTTGCTTACATTCCCTTCTTCCTGAAGCTACCCCTCTGTCTTTGAAGACTTGAGAATCACCCATGTTGTTATCACCCTTCGTTTAAAGGATGATTTTTTTCCTTGTCTTAAACAAATGTTTATTCCTATTAAGAATTTTGTAATTCCTGTTCCATTAAGACCGTTGGAAAGCGTTGAAAAAGATGAAAACCATCACTCAACAACCTGACACCACAACCTGTCAAGGATAGTGTGGAAAATGTATAAATCTGACTCAGTTATGCAAAAAGATAAAATACTAACAAATCAAACCCATCAGAAGATTAAAAAATATACCAAAATTGTGATCAGAAAAGTTCTACTTAGTTCAAATCCCATTCCATAATTAATCTATGCTCTATAGACAAGTATTCCATTGGATTGGTGTGCCTGGTTTTTTAAAAAAATGCTACTAGCATTAGGGGTCTGTATTATTTGCATATAGTAGCTTTCCGTTAGACATATACTGGGGAACTGTTGGCTAAATTCTGGATGTCCAAGACACTCAGTTTCCCATCTATAAATTGAGAATAATAATAGTGTCTTCTTCCTAGAGTTACTTAAGGATTAAATGAGACAAAACCTCCAAAGTGTTTAAAATTGTACTTAGCATTCAGAGTATGTGTTTGATGTTGTTTTTTAAATTTTAAAAACAGCTCATGGATTTTAGGTGAACTTTAAATAACTTTCTTCTTATCCAGAAGATTTAACCAATGGCTCATACGATGATATTCTAAATGCTGAACAACTTCAGAAACTCCTCTACCTGCTTGAATCAACCGAGGATCCTATGATTACTGAAAGAGCCTTGGTCACTCTGGGTAACAGTGCAGCCTTTTCAACCAACCAGGTAAGTACTGTCATGCAGCAAGCAAGCTCCTGTCCAAATACACTGCCAGTAATTGTGACCCTGGATCAGTTATTTAACCTCTCAGAGACTCAATTTCCTCATCTATGCAATATGGCTCTGTGTGCCCACAATGTAATGTTTGTTTACTACTGAAAAGCACAGCCTAATGGTGATATGATTAATAATGTTTCTAGACCCCTGTGAACCTGGTCACTGGCATCACATAGTAAGTGAGTCTGTTCAACATTTAGTAGTAAATGGTTTTTTTAAATTGCTTAAATTTTTATCAGTGCTTCAGTAAAACAATGAAAGCAATTAACATTTAAGTATGTGCTTTAAATTGTAGAATAATGGGACCAGGGATTTAGCTCAGTGGTTCTGTCGCCTGCCTTGCAAGCGTAAGGTCCCAAGTTCAATCCCTGGTACAAAAAAAAAAAAAAAAAAAAAAAAAAAAATGTAAAAGAAAAAAAAAAAAAAAAAAGCAATAAATTGTAGAGTACTGTAGCTCTTGGCCACAAGACACTATTTTCTGGCCACAAATCAATGTCCATGGCTTCTACAGGTAGAGGCTTAACAAGACTAAGGAGCTTAATGGGAGTGCTTCCTTCCTCCCTCCTCCCTTCTCCGTGGAGAATAAGTAAAAACATTTGTGTGATTTTTTTTCTCAGTTAATGCCTTTCTATAATTCATAAGTGCAGAATTATTTTGAGTTCGCATTTCATTTGAGTCCAGTTTTCTCGAAATGGCACAGTTGGCTGTAAAGCTTTAGAGGTTTTTAGGAAGATACACGAAATGTTTATGCATTATTCTAGTTTGTCAGTTGCAAGTGACAGAATACTATGGACAGTATTTAAGGGAAGTACTGAGATCAGCAAACTTCAACATCTAAGAATAGAATTGATGTGGGGCACAATTAGATTGAGTTCAAGGCTGCAGAATTATCAGAGCTCTCTCTCTCTTTCTCTACCCTTTGGCTGTGCTTGTTTTTACATAGGGGTTCTTGCGCGCAAAGAGGTTTGCTTCAAAGGTTAGAAAGGAAACCATCGGCCTCTCAAGCATTCATCCCTGTAGCTCATGATCCAAAAGGTAGTGGTGTTCTGCCGGGATCAAATGCCAGCCTTTCGGATCAGACAGAGGACCCTGAACCATGATTGGTGAGGCCTGGCTTTCGTGCATGTCTGCAGCCAAGTAGCAGGAGTGGACGTGAATTATATTGGCCAGCAGTGCCACCAGGGACCACGTGGGGTGGATGAGGCACTGGCCCTGGCATCACATGATAAGTGATGAAAAACAATAGATGGGGACTAATTTGCTAGCCTGCTCATGTTGAAGGATTTCTGATGCCACAGTCTCATATCCCTCTGAATCAAATTGGAGCCAGAGGGAGTCCTTGCTTAATAGTGGAAGTGAGTGCTGTTGCCATCAGTTATACTGCCTTGATCTGCTTCAACAGTAGTTGCGTGTAACATTGTTGTCCCCAGACCACATATATGAACCACGCATATTATGATGGCCCCGTAGATTATGTTGCTTGGTGAGGTAGTGGCTTAGTTTGTGTAATTACTGGATACTCTATGATGTTCACACAGAGATGAAGTTGCCTAACAAGGCATTTCTCACCATATATCCCTGTTATTAAACAATGCGTAACTATTCAGTAAGAAAGGGGGAATTGCAAAGGGAAAGCTTTATTGTTCTCCAGTGCTAAGTCTATCCTTAATAATAGTTTTGAGCTATTTGTATAAAGCAGGTGATGGCAGTATTTTCTGGACAGAATAGTATGTCTTGGCCTGGTGAGTGATTTTCAGCCTGTTTTCCTTATAAGAATGAAAGCACTTGACACTTCATTCACTGTAGAGACCAAAGATGCATGGTAATTTAGTGTTGCCATTAATTGTGCAAAATGTCAGATTTCTTTTTTCTGAGGAAAATTGGGCACCATTTTTTAAATTGTGTAGAACTCCGATTCTGCAAGATGTTAATGTGTTCCCCCTCTCCCATCACTGAAAAGTGACCCCTTTAGTGGTCACAAAAATACTATTGTCACTACTTCTAAACATATCGATGTGTCACGATAAAGGAAAATATAACACCAAACTTTATGTTTGACACACTCCTCTAATCCCAGCACTTGGGAAGCTGAGGCAGGAGGATTGCCATGAATTCAAGGCCAGCCTGGGCTACATAGTGAGACTTCGTCTCAAAAAACCTAAAAATAAAAAATTTTTAAAAGTACACATTTATTCTTATAACTAGAACTTCCCAAAGTTATATAACCCTGTGAACCCCTGCATGTTTTTAATAGGCCATCTGTTACCATCTTGAGGGATTAGTGTTCCAAAGAATACATTTTAACACTGTTGTAGTACTATATTCTATACCATAACACTTTTCTAAGTTTTCCTATAATAGAGAAGATAGCTCATTGCAAAGTAAACTATTTTGTTTGTAAATTGTGTCAAGATCGTTACAGTAGCTCTGCAAATATTTACTGTATAACTCCATGCTATATAGTTCAAATACTCATATATCTAAATTTTATTTGCAGTTGGTGTTCTTTATCTACAAAATTATGAGTAGACAGTGGAGTCACTATAGATAGTGATTGTATAGTACAATTCTCAAGCAAGAAAAAAGGATTCTGAATGGTTTCACCATAAATAAGTGATAAATTAGGAGATAGATATGCTTAACCTGAGTATATAATATATATGCATATCAGAAATCACAGCCAGGGATTTAGCTCAGTGGTTCCGCCACCTGCTTCACAAGCGCAAGGACCCAAGTTCGATCGCTGGTACAAAAAAAAGAGATCACAAAGTACTTTATTAATATGTGTATAGTAATTTTGTGTTTTTATGTATGTTTAAAAATAAAATTAATTTTAAAATACTATCAAATTTCTTACTGGGAGATACACAAAAGTTTTATCTAGTATCAAAAAAGTGCACATTCCGAAGGGAGTGTGAGTATTCAGGGTGACTCTTATTATGTCTGGTGCTGGGTATATCTATACAATGAAGGGTGACGTTCCATTCACAGTTGAAAAGCCCATTTTACAGGTAAAAAGATTCACAGATGAGAAGTCCCCATTTTTCAGAAGAAAACCCAAACCCAAACTTACTCTATTTCTTTCTAAGACTGAGAAATCAGGCTGGGTGTGGTGGTGCACATGCGTATTCCCAGCACTTCGGAGGCTGAGGTAGGAGAATCACTGCAAGTTGGAGGCCAGCCAGGGTTATGTAGTGAGTTCTAGACCAGCCTAAACTATGTAGTGAGACCCTGTCTCAAAAAAATGAAACCCAAGAAGAAATAAAAAAGACTCACTGATACAGTTAGTGATGAATTCTCAAGAAATAGATTCTAGGGCTGAGGATTTATTTCAGTGGTGCCACCACCTGCTTCGCAAGCACAAGGTCCTGAGTTCAATCCCCAATAGCAAAAAAAAAGAGAAACAAATAGAGTCTGGATTCTTTGTATACAATGAGCAAAGAATCACAAGTTTATACCAGATGGTAAAAGAAAAAGCAGCTACATGAAGTTAATGGGGGTGGTGGGGTTGCGTTCATGCCAGCAACAAAAAAGTGGCCTGATAGGGAAAATAAGTGGTCCTGGGGGGGTGGGGCAATAAGAGGAAAAAAAAAATGGTGTCAGGTTTTAAGATTTTTTTCCAATGGGAAGATTTGTTTGTGAGAAGAGTATTTCTTAACAGTGATTAATTTTTAATTGTATTTATGGATTCTGAATCCAAGAGAGGGGAGGCATATTGAAGTCATAATCTGGTTTTTGTTTTTCCATCTTAGGCAATTATTCGTGAATTGGGTGGTATTCCGATTATTGGGATTAGAATCAACAGTCCAAACCAGAGTATTAAAGAGAAAGCTTTAAATGCGCTAAATAACCTGAGTGTGAATGCTGACAATCAAATCAAGATAAAGGTAAGTTTTGCGAAATAAAAAATGTAAAAGGTTTTCTTTCTGTGAAATAGAAAATAATTAAAAGGTAAATGATGAAACTTTAAAAGACTTTCCTGTATAACTCTGTGGCCAAGAACTGACTTTAAATAAACAGAATGAGGCAGAAGAGAGAGAAGCCTACACTAACGGATAGGAGGTAGAGTACAAGGGACTTTGGGGGCTTATTTAATCCAAGAGCAGTAAAAGAATCCATAATCAAAGAACATCAGCAGAAACACTCAATGAATTAAGAAATGGTATCAACCCAACATCAAATGAACTTCTGCTCTGAGGAACAGAATATAGACATGAGTGAGATACTCCTCTTGCTCTAAGCACGTTAAGGAGGGATAAAAGAAGTCCATAAACAGTTTTAATTCAGGGCAAAATGTGACAAAGTGCTTTAAAGAAAGATAGGTCAAAAAAAAAAATGCTGTACAGAGAAGAGAGACCCCCATTGCAAAGTTTCTGTGAAGAGGTGGCATCTGACCTGGCTTTTAAGAATGTCTAAGATTTCTATAGGCAGAGTTAGGCAAGGAAAAAACTCCAAAAAAAAGAAAGAAAGAAAGAAAATGAAGAGGTGGGAATAACTCGGCCCATTTGGTAATTCTTTTACTAGAATTTAAATGGGAAAAAGACTCAGCTACAGTAAGGATATAAATGTTCAATACATTTTAACAAATCCTTTGAAAGACATTAGTGCCTTTAAAAGCATGTGACATTGGGCCAGGGATTTAACTCAGTGGTGCCTGCCTTACTAGTGCAAAGTCCTGAGTTCAATCCCCAGTACCAAAAAAAAAAAAAAAGTGACATTGGGGCTGGGGATTTAGCTCAGTGGGGCTGCGCCTGCCTCACAAGCACAAGGTCCTGAGTTCAATCCCCAGTACCAAAAAAAAAAAAAAAAGTGACATTGGGGCTGGGGATTTAGCTCAGTGGTGCTGCGCCTGCCTCACAAGCACAAGGTCCTGAGTTCAATCCCTAGTACCATAAAACAACAACGACAACAAAATGTGATGTATAAAGAACTAAAGAAATAGCCGTTTTTTAAAGAGGATGGGTGTCACCAATAAGCCATTTGACTTATACTTTAGAGCTTAAAACTAATAAAATTTCAATCTCTGCTTTATAGCCATTACATTAGTGTCTGTGGAAACATGGATACATTTGGATTTTTTAAAAAATTAATGGTTTATTGAACAGTTGGTCATTTCTTAGAACTCCAAGTTAGGAAAATTTCCTTAACAGGACTTTTGGTGGAGTTTAAATTTGGTTAAACAAATGCATTTATATATAACCAAATACAAATATAAATATTCATCCATATATCCATGAATATATATGTACAGCCATCCCTAGCTAAAGAAGAAAGTTGGGCCAAATATAACTTTGCTTTTCTTACTCTTGACGGAATTAACTCTAAAGAAAAATACTATTTCACTTCATCCCCTCCCCTCATTCCTTCCCTTTGATGTGACACAGCTCTCTAGACCTTCCCACTAAAGCATTTGCCATAATACAAAATGGCCTTGCACATCTTCCTCCTGTCCCTGTTGTTCCAGACCAGTAGAAACAGAAAGGTGGCAAAATCAGGAGGCTCCTGTGAGCCCAAGGCCACTGGTGTTGAGAGCAGGTTCTCTGGGCTTGGACCTTGCACAGGTGACTTGAGCTCCTGGAAGCCTTCACAGTCCTGGCTGTGAGATACCCACCCGAAGACCTGCCATCAGAGTGGTCCTCAGGACTAAGTGAGATATGTTTGTAAAATACTCCGGTGCCAGCACTGACAAAGGCAGCTTTGAAAATGTGTCTGCAGTTTGAGGGCGGAATTAAAAAGTCATCTTTTCTGAGGAGCCAGTTCCATCCTGAGCAGTCACACTGCTCCACTGCGCAGAGCGGTGACCGTCCAGTGAAGTCACTTGGAGATTCTGAGATGCTCGTGGTTTCCCCTCTGCCTGCAGGTATACGTCAATCAAGTCTGCAAGGATGTCCTGTCTGGTCCCTTGGACTCTGCTGTGCAGCTGGCCGGGCTGAGGCTGTTAACGAACATGACGGTTACCAATGAGCACCAGCACATGCTGAACAGTTACATTGCAGACCTGTTCCACGTGTTACTGACTGGAAATGGGACCACCAAGGTATGAGGGGAAGCACTTATTCCTTGAAAGACAAGGAGCTATTGCCTTGTTAAGTACGATCCAAACTGAATCTCCAGGCCACCCATCTTAAGTTCCTCTAAAGTTTATTAAAAATTTTCACAGGGCCTAAAAAAGTATATTGTGGTTAATATGAAATATTAACTTGTAAGAATCATCTGCTCTTTCACTTATTGAGGTCCATTTGGTTTTCTGAGACTCTTAATTGAAGTGAAATAGCTAACTTCCCACCACCAGAAATAGGAACATTGCGACTGAGAGAGGTCTGTGAATAATAACAGTGGTTAGTTGAATTTTTTGCTTTCTTTGGGGTTAACATTTTTTTATTCAACACTATTTCTTGAAAACCTGTGTAAAAGCACTTTATTTTTTATTATGTTTTCAGTGTATAATGTTTACATTCCTTCTGTGATGTTAGTATATATACATCTAATTCCCTTTTTCATCCCCTTTTCCTCCCCTCCATCCATCTCCTGATTTTCCCATTTGAGAAAGATCTAGCTCCCTACTTCCTATTACCTGTCTTTCATTTTGCTCTGTATTTATGATTTGAGTTTCTCGTACAAGAGAAACCATGCGATAGTTAAGCTTATGTGTCTGATTTATTTCACTTAAAATTGTGACGTTAAGATGCATCCATTTTCCCACAAAAGACTCAAGATTATCTTTCTTTGTGATAGAGCAATACTCCATTATGTGTAAATACCACATTGTCTATCCAGTCATCTGTTGATGGACATAGGCAGCTTCCAAGACTTAGCTATGATGAATTCAGCTGCTATAAACATGGATGTATCCCTGTAATATGATGTCTTTAACTCTTTTGGGTAGAAGGGGGGGAATATCTGAGTCAAATAGAATTTCTAGTTTTAGTGTTCCGAGAAATCCCCACACTTAGATCCATAGTGGGTGTACTAGTTTATAATTCCACCAACAATGTAGAAGGCTTCCTTTTTCCATGGGGCCTTACCAGTTGTTATTATTTGATTTTTTGATCAAATGACCTTTATTTGTGGAGTAAGATAGAATGTCAGTGTTCTTTTAATTTGCACTTCTCTAATAGCCAGCAATGTTGAATATTTCTTCATATATTTATTGGCCATTTGTACTTTGAGATTGTATTCATTTCACTTTCCATTTGATTAGTTCTTTTTTTTGGAGTACATTTTAATTTTTGAGTTTTTTATATATTTTAGATATTACTCCTCTGATTAATAGCTGACAGATTTTTTTTTTTTTTACCTGTTCTGTACATTGTCTTTTCATTCTTTTGGTTGTTTCTTCTGCTGTGTGTGCAGAAGCTCTTTAATTTGATATGATCCCATTTGTTGATTCTTGATATTGTAATATTTTCTGTTGCAACAAGGGTTCTGCAACTAGGCCTATGACTTTTACTTATTTTATCTCCCAGGTTAAGTGTTTCTGTGTAAAACCACTTCTCGTAGTAGTGTATGAAGTGAGAGGAAAATGCCCAAGCATTTTTGAAGGACCATATGTGAAGCCATGCTCCAAATATCTAACACCTGTGCTATGATTTCTGAGGTTATCAGGATGTGATTATGGGAGAGCCTCACTGTAGTTCTACCTCTTTGTTATTGAGGTGTTTATGAGCTTTCCACATTTCCCACAGTCAGATTTACTTGGATCTGGTCCAAGATTTACTTAGAGTCATTGAAAATTAAATGTAAGAGTAAGTCCTCTTTTAGCAATATTGCCCCATCCCCACACAGTTCCAACATGCACATACCTATCAACCTCTATTTCCAGTAAGCAAGGTGACTCCCAGCCCAAGGCCCATGGAAACTCCTTCCCTCCCTACCCCACAGTGTGGTTACTAGGGGAAGAGTCTCTCCTCCGCCTGACTCTACAGCTGTGCTACCCAGAACCCTGGGAGGAACTCCGAGCAAGTTCAGAGCCAGCAAGTCTGGCCTTGGGCCTGTATGTAACTGTCTCAGACACAGTCTGCTTTTTAGTATAATTTGTGACTTTTTAAAGGCTGACTCATACCACAATAGTATGTTCTAATTTTGTTTTGTTTTCCGTTACATTGCTTAGAATATTTCTTTTTTTTTCTTCTCTTTTTTTTTTTTTTGTATCAGGGATCGAACTCTGGTCCTTGAGCTTGCAAGACAGGCCACCGAACTGCTGAGCTAAATCCCTGGCCCTGCTTAGAATATTTCTGAGATAGAATATTTGTTTGGTTTTTTTGTTTTGGGCGGTTTGTTTTGTTTTTTTTTTGGAGGGGGAGTTCTGCCTGGGATCCATGCCAGCAATTATAGCATTGTTTCTCCATAAAAATTGAATTTAAAGGTCTAATTTTCAAGTAAACTTTTAGTAATCATCCATTGGTTAGTGGGAACATTTATCCATTTTAGACATTTTCTTAGTAAATAAAAACAAAGGTGACTTTTTAAAAAATTAAGCTCAAGGCAATGATCTAACTATACTATAATGCCTTATGTGTGTATCAGTGATTCATAACTAAATACAGATAGTGGGAGGTTAATATAAATAAACCCTGTGCTTAATACATCCCCCAAGGAAAGTGAGTAAAGCCAGCAGTTTAAAAAGAATGTTCTGGAATCACCACGAGACGGCACATGTGAAAAGAGGGATGTGATAGTCTTAGGTTTTTGAGCCAAAATACAGTACAAATCTTTGTTTAATCTGTAGTTGTCCTCTAATTGTATATAATTTTTCTTTACATTTAATTCCTTCCTGCAAAGCATAACATCACATTTTACTGCAGGATGTGTATTATTGTACTAATCTCTGGTTATATACCTGTGCTCAGTGACTACTAGTGGGCCTTTTGGATCTTACAGAATTCATCCAGGCTTATTTCATAAATTCAGGACCATCTATTTTATAACCCTTGTTCCTGTTTTCCCAGTGCAGATGTCACTGACACTGGATCCAATGTTGTTTTCCTAACACTTATCCTTGCTGGTTCTGATAGCCTGTCAGGCCAGATGAACTCTGACAGTGTCACTAGGGAGAGCGCTGAAGAAGTGGCAGGTGTCTCCTTTACTTTCTACCTTAAGAGGCCTACCTTATTAAAAGCATTTGTTAGAAAGACAGATCTCTGCTTAAACAGTTTACCAATGCTTACCACTAGGGAGAGGGATGGATCCTAGAACAGCAGCTCTTGTCTTTACCTGTTCCCTTCTGCACTGTTTGAAATTTTTATCTTGACTGTATGTTTTTATAAAAAATTTAAAAGTAAATTAAAATAAGATTAACTAACATCTACAAGATGATCAAAGGAATTATAAGCATACAGTATGAGATACTGTCTGTGCAGAAAGAAAATACCAAAGCACTGTAGTGACCATTTCTGGTCACTGGGAATAGGAATGAACTTACTTTTTCTTTGGGCTTTTCTATCTTTAAAAATGTTCTAGGGCTGGAGGTACAATGCTCAGTGATAGAGCACTTGCCTGCCATGCATGAGGATCTAGGTTCAATCCCCAGAACTACCAAAAAAAAAGTTCTTAGTAAAATCTGTTGCCTTTGGAATTAAAAAGTCTAGGTAAACATCTAGGTTTCTTCTGAAGAAAGAAACAATACTTGTTTCTCTTGTCTTCAGTAGCTTCTCTTTTCACCTCAAGTGCTTTGTAGAAACTGATTTCACATGTTTCTAAGAGGAAATTCTATTTTAATATTTTTATTGTTGATTTTTCAGAAATAATAATGCTGAAATTTTAGTCAGCTATTAATTGTTTATCTCACTGTGCCTATTTAAATGATTAAACACTTTTCACATGAAAAAGATAACCTCAGAGTTTTATTGTGACCTAGTAATGGCTGTTACTTGGCCTTGGTAGACAAAAAATTTTGAAATTTCCATGTCTTTAATAGAAGTGAACTAAACTGAGAGGTTTTTTTGTTCCAAGGAACATATTTCAGTTACTAGTAGTCATACTAAAGATCATTCGACACACATGAAGCTTAGTGGTCAGGTGTGTTTGTGTGCAGGGACTGTGAAGACATTCACGGTATTCCTCCATCCCTGATGGTGGAATTGAAAGAGGTTTGCATAGCACTGTTCTCTAATAATCGCTCTGAGAGTGGGGCCGAGAGCTTTAAGAGTTCAGAGAGAGAGAGCCTCAGTGGAGTGGAAAGACTCTGAGCCCACTTCAGAGCGCAGGCAGGATTATACAAAGGGAACATGGTGAGAAGCAAGCATGCCAGGGAGAGAAAATTCGTGCCTTCTGGTCTGAAATAAACAAGTATTCTTATTTCAGGTTCAAGTTTTAAAGCTGCTTGTGAACTTGTCTGAAAACCCAGCCATGACAGAAGGACTTCTCAGTGCCCAGGTGAATAGATTACATACTTATTGTGTAAATGCACACATTTGTAAGTTTGGACAGATAGATCTGTAAACATTTAGCCGAAAGGTTCCCAGGGATTATCTCTGAAGAGTGCTATTACGGTGTTGCTCTATGCTTTGCACATATGAATTCCCTGATGTTCTATAACAGGCACACTTACAGAAACAGAACTGTTATGTGGTAGAGGCCAGGCTGAGTCCTGAGACACACGGTACTGTATCTCCTGGGACCTCCAGTCTAGTAGAGACAAAGCTGTGTAACGAATGACGGTCAAAAGCTGCTGTTTGTGTTCGGAAGGAAGTCGTGGTGCTGAGGTGAAATGGGGCCCAATTCCTGCAGAAAAGGGCCATCATATTCATCTGCTCAGCCCTGTCCCCTGCCCTTTGTATGCAGGGAACATTGGAGGAATCAGTGAATTTTCAGGAAAACTATTCTCAGGATCCTGAAAAGGGAAAGGATGTTTTACCAAATGACTTCATTCTGGGATTCCAAGGAAACCTTTTTTAACTAAAATGCAGAAACCTTTGTTTCCATTAGTATACAATGTAGGCATGCATAAGATTTTGTTCATCTAGGTGATGCAGAGTTTTCTGTGGCAGGATTTTTATGTGAAAATGATACTGTTTCCTTTTTCAGGTGGACTCCTCATTCCTTTCCCTTTTTGATGGCCATGTGCCACAGGAGATTCTTCTTCGAGTTCTTACACTATTTCAGAATATAAATGACTGCCTCAGAGCAGGAGGCCATTTAGCTGTTCAGCCTCCTTTCCCTAAAGGGGCACTGTTTTCCCTGTTGTATGGAGAAGAATGTGTCCAGAAAATGAAAGCGTTAGTTTATCACGATGATGTGGATGTGAGAGAAAAGGTTGTAACAATAATACCGAAATCCTGATTGGTTATCCTATTTTCCAGAGTAATGCAGTCTGCTAGGTAACACACAGAAACTCTCCCCAACTTTTTTTTATAAAGGGGGTTCTCTCTCAGCTGCTGATTTTGAAATTCTCATTTTATCTTTAACACAGTACAGGTTGGGCATCCTAAATATGACATGATGCTCAGATTTATAATTTGAAGCATTTGAGATTTGGGATTTTTGAAATGAGGATCTTCAGCCAGTAAAGTCTATGCAAGTATTCCAAAGTCCAAAAAACTAAAGTGTGAAACACTTCTGGCCCCAGCATTTCAAATAAAGGATATTCAATGTATGTAACTTGCTAGGTCTTCTGGTTCATTTTGGACCATTTAATTGACACTAAAATACAAATTTGGACTGAAACCAGTTATTTTGCTATTTGCTGAGACACATACTGCCTTCAGTGAAATAGCAGTGACCTTTTTATATAGAGGCCCCCTTTTCTTGGAAATGACTTGCAGTCACTTTGTGTGGGATTCGCTTATCATCTGAGAACTGCCACAAGGCCGGCCTTGTCCTTTAGCAGCAGTGAGATCCGGAGTTATCACAACCACCTGCTAAGCCCGCCATACTGCTTTCAAAGTCTGTTGTAATCATCAGAATCAATTCTCATCATTCCCAGTCAATAAAAAAATGTAAACTTTTGGGGGAAAATGTTTCTTAATACTTACTTACTCCCAGTGTGCTAGTATTTAAATGTTACCTATAAAATATTGAGGTCGATCAAAATGGCCATCCCTGGGCAATTGGTTAAATCAACTAGCCAGTCTAAAAAGGATGGAGTCTGAATGTGCTCATGTGGAAAAGCACATTGCAAAGGAAGTGTGCATAACATGATCCTGTGTGTGTGTTTTAAGTGACACTTAGGCTTATCTATGGAAAGAACATTTCTAGAATAATTCCTGGGAGAGAGACTGGGATTTGGGAGTGAGGAACATAATTTTTCTATGAACAATCATTTCTGTTTGAAAGGGATTTTTTTACTATAAGCATAAATTGTGTAATTTTTTAATAAAAGGAAAATAACGGACAAGACTATATTTCCCCTTGACAGTACTTTATTTTCATCCATTTTTTTACTTGACTAAAATTACAGTATATGAACATCTCCCAACTATTATCTTTTTAAATAGTATGTTCTCCCATAAGCTATAGTGACTTGATATATTTGAATTCAGCCAGGTTCTATAATATTCAAGTTCACAAACCTCATACTTAGCACTGAGTAAATAAATATGTAAGCAGAAAGTACTTTGAGTTTCATTTGTAAATGTACAAGACTATTTCCAAAGTAAGTTATAAACCCTCAAACTGAAAAATATGTGTCAGGGTTAGCCTGATTTGGAAATAAAACTTTGAAGAAATATTTTAACAGTAGAAAAAGGGTTTATATAAGATGAAAAATTAAAATTTCCAGTGGGCTACAATAGTATATGATGGCTAATAATACTTTTATATGTTGGTGATACTATATAGGTATGTATTAAATCCTGGAAAGGCACATCTCTTTATAACAATTTTTAAAAACTTTCCCTATTTAATATAAATATGTATTCAACATGTGCACATATTAAAAACCAGGATCTTTTTTTCAGTGTACTTTAGCAGCACTGGGTTCTAAAAGCCTTTCTTTTCCTGTTTTTAATCTGAGTAATTATACTTCGCAGAGATTAGAGCATTGATTCTGAGATGTCACACTAGGTAATGTCACATAGGTAATTTTTTGTCATCTAGGGAGAACTCAGAGTGAAATACACAAATAGATCTTTCTTCTGTAGGCCAAGACACATCTTCATTTTTATTATGAGATTTCTTCTAGTTGAGAGAACCGCCTCTTAGGTGGTACAGGGTATCAGTGTTGCTCAGGAAATTCACTCATCAAAGATGAATGTGAAATTCACTTTGATGATAAAATACCTTAAAAGGTATTATGATGTATGTTAGACTGAACTGAAGAGAATAGACTGTCTTCAAAATGTGTCTTCCTTTTACACATATAAACCCTTCAAAATGCAGATGAGTGGAAAAGTGGAAACCTCTCAATGGGGTGGTTTTGATAAGGTGTGATACTGATATTTTATGGATAAAATACCAACGTAGGAGTATGAATGGCAATAAAAACCAAAGTTTGTCAGAACACCTAGAAAAACAAGGCAGGCCCAATTAAATGCAAGTAGAACATGACATTTTATGGGCGAGGGATTTAGCTCAGTGGCACCAAGCCTGCCTCTCAAGTGCAAGGTCCTGAGTTCGATCCTGGGTACCAAAAAAAAAAAAAAAAGTGAGAACAACATTTTAAAGTGCACAGAGAAGCTCAGTATATATATAAATAATGCTAAGGCCATTCGTGGAAAATAAGCATCAAGCAAGATATACTTGGCTTGCTTCAGAGGTAAAAGATGAACTTTCAGCTTGATGTGCAGCAACAAGGATATGACTACAAGAATCCTGGCCCCAGAGTTGACCCACACATCTTAACTCGTGTCTGCTCAAAGTGAAAAGGCTGGTACTTGTTCAGGTTTCTCCTGAAGTTTATCTTATGGGGATTTCTTCTGTGATTCAGTGCCCCCAAGTCATACACACTCGCCTACATTATAAACACACATATTGCAAAAGCATTTCCCTTTGTCTGATTTGAAAGTACTCAATCTCAATAAAGATCATATCTCCAAATTTATAAAATGAATGGGATGAAGTTATTGGTCTTCAGTGTTTAGTGTCTTAATATATATGCTTAAATCTGCCATAGCTGGGATCAAGATGATATCAAAAGCATGAGCCTATTTTCAGCTTTCAAGTGTACCTAACTACACCAGGCAGTGATATCTTTAAAAAGCATGTTCTCCTTTAGATCTCTAAAGTGCTTTTCAAAAATTCTCTTTATTTACACATTTTGGAGGTAGGTCAAAATTATCCTCTTGTTGCACATGAGGAAGAGGCACAGTGAGCATAGTGACTTCAGGTTACCAAGAAAATTCAAGATGAAATGAAAATTAAAATTCAGATTCAGTGGTTATTGTCGTGCACGTATCTTTGCCAATCCAATTACAGAGCAACGCCTAGGTAACATCTGGTTTAGAAAATGTATTATTTTGTATGAATAACATACTTCACCAAGCTGTGGAGCCGGAGCATGGAATGGCCCTCTAATAGCATCTCATACACCTTCCTGATGATAGTCCTGCCTCAGCCTTACAGAGCACTGGGACTACAGGAATGTGCCACCATGATCAGCTGGTTTAGAGCACTCAGAAACGGAGCCTTATTAACACTAAAACTCAACTCAGGTGACACCCATTACCTTATTGTAACAATCACTTATATTCCATAAAGGTACTATCATACTTAGAGGTCATCTGATACAAAAATATATGACTTCTTAATCATATAAAGCAAAATATAAATCGTATTGATATATTTAGGATTAGAGCTAGCAAACCAGAAAAATGTGTAAAGAAAATGGAAAATAAAAAAATAAGTCAAAATGTACAGTCACATGTAAAATCTACATTTATCTTCTCTGAAATAGTTAACTATAGCTATATTTGTGCTTAGCAGAGGTGTTTTAGATTAAAAATAGAAAATTTCATAAATCAAGTTCTCATCACCACACCCTTTCCCTTCCTCTGCCCAGATCAGAGAGCTTTTAATTTGGGGATCATAAATGAGAAAAAGAATATATTATTCCCCTCTTTTAAAAAATTTAAGTTATGGTAATCATGAGTGCACAAGAATGTGAATCTACTTAATGCCAAAAAATTTTTTTAAATGGTTAAAATGAAAAGTTAATGTACATTTTATCACAATAAAAAGTAGTCTTTAAAAATGGTAATTTAGCCCAAACACCTATGTTTTTATGCTTACGAAAATATATCACCTAACATTTGGCATGTAAGCTAATCCTGATAGAGCAAGAAATGCTATGTTTATAAGCATGTGGGAGTCAACTGTATCACTTACAATGTGAGTATTAGTTGTGTGTGTGTAGGCCTCTGAAAAGATGTAGGCAGACAGCCTTAAAGAATGCCCTAAATAGAAAAACAGGTGGATTTTTAATAGCAGTTTTTCATAACCTCAGAAAATTCTACAACCACTGAAGTATAACGCTTTAGTTAAAAAAATTTCTACTGAAATGCTTACCCACTGATATATTTCTATATCCACATTGGCCAACTCATTATTTAAATGACCCACCCCTGAACTGCCTTCACAGTTTTCATTAGCTGGACATCACATTGGTAAGCAAGTTATTACATAAAACATAAAACACACACTTGCAGAAGCTGCTTGCTAATGAAAAAGTCAACACTCATGAATTTCTTAGTCTTTTCATTTGTTTTCCAATATCAATGATACCTTTTTCATTAAAAGCTCCTATGCACATCTTTATTCAAAGTTTTAATCATCAGTATTTAAGTATCTTGATTCTCCATGCTTCAAGACAAAAAAATCTTCAGTCTTAAGTCCGTATCTTTCCAAAGCTTCGCTCAGTTTCACTGGAGGCTCTAAGTAATGCTGGGAAAATGCAGAAGAAAAAAGGGGGAAATTTAATTACATACAAGGGATATTTCAAATACAAGTTCAAACTAAAATAACCAGCAGATGGCCACATTAAAACAATACCCTTTCTTTTAACTGCAGCATTAGCAAATGTTCAGTCATTTTCTAACAGCATGGCATTAATTGTGAAGTCAACAGATGTGTCCATTGTTAGGTGTCACCTGCACAGCAAATGCAGGGCCACCTGAGATTGAACATCATTAGATTACATGAAATCTGATCACTTTCACTATATGAAATTTCACTCTAAATGGAATCCACACCAAAAATTATTAGAGCCTGTGCCATCAGGTCTTGGTTCAAATGCCACCTTGACTGTGGCAGAGGAACATCATGAAAATTAAGCCTCAATCCGCAGCACCACCACAACCCCCCTGCTGATTGGCACAAACTGTCCGGGACTTTGGAGGCAACTGTGGGAGCTGAGGTTTTTACTCCAGGTCGCCCTGGCAGAGAAAGCGTCCTGACTTGACACCAGTTGTAAGCAACAGAGTAGTGACAGTGAAGGAGGTAGGAAGTGGTGAAATCCTGAGTTTAATCTAAAGGTCGACCTGATTGTGTGCAGGTGGAATGGAGGGGGGAACTGGATGAAGGATATGAGAAATGGAGCCAAGGTTTCAGCCTGAGTAACTGGAAAGTAGCAGTTGCCATTTATAGAGAGTAAGAGAAGCTAAACTGAGGGGAGATGAGAGCTTGGTTTTACACTTAACGTTCCAGATACCTAAAGGATATCCAAGTGGAGATGTCAAGAGTCAGCTGGGTATATTAATGTGCAGACTGAGAGAGCTAGGTGCAGCAGACAGCTGGCATTTAGAGATTCCCCAAGAAAGGGACCAGCAGACAAAGCAGTCCACAGACTGACACCTACAGCACTCAATGATCAGCGCAAAGAAGATGAGGGGCCAGCAAAGTGACGGAGGGATGGCTAGTGACATACAATGAAAGCCAGGAAACATTTCTTCAAGTTTAGCATGCACAGGTCTGGTAAATAGTCATTGGTCACATGCAAAAACTTGCTCACTTCCACTATGGCTATGTTTAAAAGGATGCCTTTCCACTGAATAACTACTGTGTAACTTAGATTTTAACTACATTTTATTTTCCCTGGGTTGCTAGAGATAACCACTTATTAATGGATGGCTCATAAGAGGAATGTGTGTTTAGTCCATTTTATACATATAGAAAGTAGATCATGACTGTATTACCAGAAGAACTTAACTTATCACAGCATAAGTCAAATTTCCCTTGAAAAGTTATTTTTTTAAAAAAAGATTTTAAAGTGATACAATTCTTTCTCATTGAAAAATAACTGTATTCCACCCTGTGCTCTGTAAGTCTCACCAGCCGTACACATACACAATCACCCCACTGATTTCTTTGTTAAACTCTGTAACTTTAGTGTGGAGTATGACGCCGTGCAGATTTAGTGTGGATTTTGCTGTGTTTGAGCCAGGAGCACAACTGGCTAGATTTAGTAGTTTCTTTCTGAGTTCCTTCAAAAAATTCTTGGCTATTTCCACCATCTAAGGAATAAACTTGAAATCAGGTAGCAAAGGCTTCTGGGTGACTGACACTATCTCACACCCCAAGCACTTTAGTCTACAAGGGGAATAAAAATGTCCCCCACCATAGGACCAAACAACAACATATGCATAAGGCAAATCAGTGAGTAAGAGGGCCAGGGAGTGGAGACGGCAGGAGACCCCCGGCCCCCTGGCTGCGGCAAGGGCCGGGACCCAGCCCCAGTCAGTTGCTAAGGTCTTAAGTAGATGGTGTTTCACAACCTACTACAACAAAATCTGTTCAAAATAAAGACGCTAGCAAGTTAGCTTACATATCATACAATATCTAAAATTCACTTCCATCAAAACTAGTGATTTAAGTCCTAGGGCTTAAATAAATCATCTAGGAAATCCGCTAGGTTAGAAGTTGCTATTTATATACAATTTCAGAATATTGCCAAGTTATAGACCTGGTTATTCTGCTTGTATTAGAGTGTGCAGCTGTTATAACTGCTTATATGCAAAGTTTTATTTAGAAATCATAGGCTAAACATTTCTGAAAATCCTATCTACTTTGCAACTTCACAAATCCATAGTTTTCTGGCTTATTCAACTAACATCAGAATGTGAAAAGCTTCCAAATGAGAGTTTATTATTACCTATCTTATTATGAAGTAAAGATGGAGGTTAGGTTTATAACAGGAATAATTACTGAAGGATGAAAACCATAGTAAATGGAGACTGAGCTTTGATCCTCTCATCTTCTGTCTCAGTACACAGCACACTGTCACCCAATCACTCCGGCTCAAAATCTCCATTCCTCTTTGCTTGGGTTCAATAAAACACTATGACTTCATCTATGTCATTGACAAATATAGTGGTTCCTCGGTTTACAAACTTCATTATTTTTTGTTTTTCTTTGTGTGTGTGTGTGTGTACTGGGGATCAAACTAAGGACCTTGTGCTCACAAGGCAGGTGTGGTGCCACTGAAACAAACTTAATTGTTTCCTCGATTCTGATTACAAAACATATTAGTTGCAAACTAAATGCAATTTCCCCATAAGGTTGACACTGAACATAAGTACTGAATAGGAACCAGGCACCACTCACTGTATTGTATATGGACACATTCTATATGACACATTCACACACACACACACACACACACACACACACACACACACACGGAATAAGAAATCACCTCCAGGGCCAGGGGTTTGGCTCAGTGGTGCCGCTGTCTGCCTCACAAGTGCAAGGACCCAAGTTTGATCCCTGTTATGAAAAAAAAAAGATTCCTAAAAGAAATCACCACCAACTCTGGACACCGTGACACACGCCTATAATCCCAGAACTCTGGGAGGATGGGGCCTGAGGGTCACAAGATTCAAGCCCACCTTGGGCATTTTAGTGACTTAGTAAGAGCCTTTCTCAAAATACAAACAGGGCTGTACATACAGAACAGTGTGAAGGTCCTGGGTTCAATCCCCAGTAAAGTGAAGAAGGGAGAGACGAAGGATGTAAGGAAGCGATTGAAGATGGGAGGGAAGGAGGAAGGAAATGCCACAAAACCGAACAGTGTACCACTGGAAAGCAGCCTCAAACTTCTTCCTTCTAAAACACACATGCACACACATGCATGCACACACGTGCTCGCACGCACACACACACATATTTAGTAGTCTCATTCTCCTTACCCCCCACAGTCACTTACTTATTCATCCCACTTCATCCCTTGACAGAGTGGCTAAGAGTTATTCAGGGATGGGAATTGTGATGACAGGGTAGAAAAACGGGCAGCCAATGTAATAAAGCAATTTGGAACAAGCTGCATTACTGGGGAAGAGAGAGGCCAGAAACAGAACAGAAAGGAAGAGTTAAAAACAGCAAGAAAGCACTGGGTTCCTGCAGAGGCCCTGGGATGTGGCAGAGGCCGTAGAAAGCAAAGTATAAAAGCCAAGTTCCAAGCTTCCCAAAGTTTTAAGTTATTCTGGCTTTGACCCTAAACCCAGACTAACAGAGCTGTAGGGTCCAGTTCTCTTAAGGAAAAATTAGCTCCTCTGTTTTAGTTGAGGAATAAAACTACATTTATCCCAATGCCTGGTAAACGGCAGCCCCGGAATCAAGGTTCAGTCGACAGTAACATCTCTAGAAAGCTGCCCTTGTCTGAAGCCCTGCTTCTCCGTGCCCTCCCCGCACCCCCTCCCGTTGAAGACTCCTCGGTGCCCCCTGCCTCACAGCCTGAGCCCTGCCCTTTCCTCCTCTGGAAATGCTTCCCCACGCTTCCTCACAGCCAAGTTCAAAGTCTTTCTCCCATGAAGCTAGCCCAATCCTCTCATCGGTGAATCTGCCTCACCTGACAGCACCTCCCCTTCCACACATCTGTATCTTGCTCGTGTCTTCCCGCTCTTGCTAGCAGGCAAGCCACCTCAAAGAGGACACCATGGTGGCTCACTTTTCAACTCCCGAGGCTACACGTACAGATTTCTGGTTACATAAACACATGCCGCATAAACTACAGAAACAAGCCCAGGAAGCAGCAGGCTAAAAGGTCTTTTCATTGAATATAAGTACTATTTTACTGATCAGTATTTTACCCCTGACTTCACGTGTGACTTCGCAGGGTCTGGCCTCTGAGAACCCTTCTAGGAGATGGACAGAGATGCCTGGACCCCACCACTGGACAAACACACCATCAAAGCTCTTTGTAGCACAACAGATCTCACCTCATAAGCTAAGGCAAAAGTCCCCCAGTGAATGGCCACGGATTTCTTTGCTTGGACGTCGATGTGAATCCTCACGGCTTCTTCTGGGTCTACGTGCTGGTATTTCATAAACCACCTGATGAAACAGCAATTTATTAATCTGGGCCTTTGAACACACTAAATCGTAATTGCCACTTCCTGTAATCACCTTTGAGATACTGCACAGGACTATGGATATCAGAGAAATTAGCAGCTCAGTGTGGTTGTTTTCACTCCCCCTTCCTATTCCTTCGTATGAGTTTTAAGCCACTACACCAGAGCCAGCAGCAACAGCAACATGCACACTGGTAATTCCCACAACCCTTCTGCTAGCTACTGTCTCATCTAGAGAACTTGTAATGGATCTCGAAGTCCAGCCTGTGCCCTCAGTGACTGTAATTTAATTTTACCAGGCTGGGACTGGGCAAAAGCTTCCCAGGTGACACTACTGAAAATAGAACGTGAGCAACACTGCGGAGAATGAATCAGAAACCAAGTCGGAGTCAGGCCAAGGCTTGACTGTAAAAAATAAAGCATGATGCTGAACAGAAATAAGTCACAGTAGACAAAACCATCCCCTTTTAGTTCACTTTTATGATGGAAAAAAAAAAGTAAAAATCTTTCTTACATAAATTACTACAAAATAAGTTTCACACAATAGTCTGAAAAGTAAAATCTTGTTTCAGATCTATTTTGCTTTTAGTGATAAGACTTCTCATCTGAAGATATGGCTTACTGTTATTTTTTAAAGCAGATATTTTGCAATCCTGAGTATGAACCAAAGAAACTGAACACTGGGTAAGAACTGGAAATCAAAAGACCAAAAACCAGAATTCCAAAAGATCCTGGATGTTATGCAAAAACTATTTCTTCAAAACTTCCTAAAGCAAAAAGCAAACAAAAATTAATGTATAAAAGTATAAAGACCTGGTACAAAAATAAATCCATTTATTCTTCCATGCAACGATTTAAAAGACAAGTGAACCATGAAGTGTTTGGTTTGGCAAGAAGAGCGGACTGATGGTATCACCTGCCACCTGCTACCCTAGGTCCTCGCTTCAGTGATCATGGAAATTAAAAGCTGAAGCTTTCAGCCTGAATTTACAGGAAAAAGCGTATTGGGAAAGTGACAGATAATGAAGGGATGCCACCGTTCTGACAAAGATCAGGCCCCTCACAAAAGGTAAGAGAAGCGAGAAAGGGGGCTTCAGTTTGAGGGTGGCGATGCCGGAACCCCACCCCTGGTCAAACACAAGTGGGAGGCCGGTCTAAAGAGGTGGGTCAGACTGGCCCATTAAGGAAGCAAGGGGACCAGTTCTCTGGGTGCCAAGGGGGCTGAGGCCCAATAGGTCAGCTCAGGCCTGGCTCTGCAGCTGTGGAGGAATCTTCACGACGTCAGGGGCAGCTCAGCGAGGAGAGGTAACTATCTCTGCTTGGGGCAGTTCAGTCATGTGAGGTCTGCTGGAATCCCAGGTGACCGCAGGTTTGGAGCAGTGGAGATTTCCAAACAGAGCTGACTATCATATAAATCTCCTTGCGTCCTCTGTCCTGAAGGGTGATGATGCAGCCTATGTAAATTTAGGCTAATAAACCTTGTTTTGCCATGTTTTAGATAGACAATTCCTAAATGCTTCTGGGCTGAGCTGGGAATCTGACCCAGAGTTATTGTACCAAATAATGGGCTTCTGTGGGTCCAAATGAAGAGTCATAGTTTTAACAAAAACCACTTTTAAGTCCCTGTCTATCTCAAAAGAAAACACATATCATGCTTTTATAACAGGTTGAGGACCTGAGAGCTTATCAGCGGTGAACTGAGAGTAGCCTGCGCCAAGCCTTGGGAACAGATAGCCTCTTGCCCACACGACAGCGGGGTGAAGGCTGCTGGCAGCCCCTGGGAAGCCTGTGGAGAGCTCCTCCAATTCCTGGGCTTCCACTTCCTTGTCTGCAAAGTACAAACTCAGATCCACCTTGTAAGGGCGTATGAGGCTCACACGGACAGTTTATGAATGCACTGAGCATGGCACCCACTCCACAGACTTCTCCCAGGAAAGGACAGTTGGCAAAACCAACACTACCAAAAGAGAATCATTATTTTAGATACAGAGGAAAAGGTGTGTTATCTGTAAGCAAAACTTGTGCTCTCTATGCCATCAGTTTAGAGGAGGAAAAGCAACCCTGTCTTCCTTTCTTCACCCCTGGTCTGGCACTGCTGACCAACTCTACAGTGAAGCTGAAGGGGCGGGGCTCAGGCACCTGGCAGCGTCACAGAGCAGCCCAGCCTCCTGCAGCGGGAGAGGCGAGCTCACAGGGAGCAGCTGCTAGGTCCTGTGGGAGCCCCAAAACAGAGCTACTGTGTTCTCCCCAACCAAGGGCACCCAAGCACTGCTCGGCCCTATCCCCTGGCACTCCGAACGCAGAGCAAGACGAAAACAGTTTTTGGTACATCTGCTCATTTTTTCTAATTCCTACTCCAAATCGAAGAGCAAGTCATTCCTTTCTATCCTCGTGTCTACCTGAAATAATCTTAAAATTGTTACTGTAATGGAACAATTAAAACAAAAATGCAAAGTCCCAACTGACTTGGCTAGAATGCTTGGAGACAACAGATTCCAAAAATAAGAACGAAGTACTGTCTTCTCAGCATGACTGAAGGCCACTGTGAGTGTCATGCTCTTAGATCTGTGGAGCGCACCAGGTATCCTGGAATGGATCCCCGACACCTCAAGGTGTGGGTGCTGACCCGAGAAATGGGTTACACAGCAGAGGCCACCACATTTGCTCCCGTTAGACAAATAATATCCACCCGTCCTTCTTCCACCTTAGAAACAAAACAGCTGCAATGCAGGTAGTGAGGGGAAGGAAGTATATGTGCTGTGTGTTTATCATCACAGACTGGCAAATATCTATTTGCTATTTGCTGCCTTGAAGACTTTCATAAAAGATATTCTAATATGTTAATAACATGTACTGCATGATGACCAGTATCATAAAGTTGCTTTGTAACTATCTTTTTAAAAAAGATTTGACGTTTTCAAAGGTTTTGTTAGAATCATTTAAGAGGAAAAGTGAAATTCCAGGATTAATATTGACTTACGGTAACTGTTACAATTAACAGAAACCAAAAAAAGTTAAAATATCTAGCCCCCAAAACAAGGAAACTAGAAAAAAACACAAAAGAGAGATGTGTTAATAAAGATAGGGGAAAATGCTTTTAATAATTTTTTTTCTTTTTCTTTTTCTTTTTTTTTTTTTTTTTTTTTTTTTTTTTTTAATCAGGGATCAAACTCAAGACTTTGTGATTGTGAGGCAGGCACGGTGCCACTGAGCTAAATCCCCAGCCCTGTTTTTAGTAAATTTAAAAGGTTAACAAATAAGTGTAAAACAATCTGATGGAAACAGAAGATCAGATTCCTCCAGTGCATCCATGTATGAGAAAAACATGAGTTGTTCAGCCTGCAGGACTTCCTCAGCAAAACATACCTGTATATATCTGTGCAAGCACTGAAGCATAAAATAAAGCAATTTTAAAAATTAAAAAAACTTGGCCGGGCGTGGCAGCGCATGCCTGTAATCCCAGCACTCAGGAGGCTGAGGCAGGAGGATCGCTGTGAGTTCGAGACCAGCCTGGGCTACATAGTGAGTTCCACGTCAGTCTCAACTGTACAGTGAGACCCTGTCTCAAAAAACCAAAAAAAAAAATAAATAAATAAATAATAAAAAAACTTTACCCTTTAGCTTGCTACTATCAGTGTTTGTTTTTTCTGTACTCCTACATAGAAATCAGAGTGTTGGGCCAGGGATTTAGCTCAGAGGTTCCTCCCCCTGCCTCACAAGCACAAGGATCCGAGTTCGATCCCCAGTACCAAAAAAGAAAAAAAGAAAGAAATCAGAGTGTAGCCAGATGTGGTGGTGCACACCTATCATCCTAGCTACTTGGGAGGCTAGGGCAGGAGGATGGAAAGTTCAAGCCCAGCCTGGACAACTTAGCAAGATTCTGTCTCAAAATAAAAAATGAAAAGTGCTAGAGATGGAGCTCACTGTAAGGTCCTGGGTTCAATTCCTAGTACCATACCAAAAAGGAACCAAAGAGAATGAAATCTAATTCTCTGAAATCCCTTTTCCTTTCCCTGAGTGGACAGGACTAGGGAAGAGAGATAGTAGCTGACTCCCCTAGGCCACCAATGAGGCCTAAGTGCCGAGTGTGCAGGGACTGAGGGTAGCAGTGAGATAGCAGCTCAGGACCAGACTCCCCTCCATCAGAGGAAAGGCCAGCCCAGGGCACTGATGCTACAGGCTGACTCCTGGCTTCCTCCCTCCGCTGGACACAGCAGAGGCACTGGACAGGGAATGCTCCAATCACAGAGTGAAACGTAGTCATGTAAAGAAAGGAAGAGCAAGAGTTAGGTTCCACTACTGGCTGATAAGTTTACCTTCAGACGGAGTAACCTTCTGTCCAGGTGTGTTCATTCTTTACCCCGATCCTTCTTTGTTGGTAATACCGTTTCTGATTTTGACTAATTATTTGATAGGTATGACTATGATTCAAATATTTTAAAATATTTAAAATCTAATTGAATCTGACCCACCAATCCCAATCAAAAGCTAACAAAATCCACAAATGACCTAGAAATCACCTATTACCTAGGATCACAAAGTCACAACCATTAAAGCCCAGTTAATGGCATATGTACAAACCTTGGCTCGTAAGCTCCAATAGGAATAGCTGCAAGGTCAAAAGGTCCAAATCTTTTTCCTATCTCTTCAAATGCAGAGCAATAACCAGTATCTCCTGCAAAAAAAAATCGATTCCAAGGCCCCAGGACAGACCAGCTGCCCCACAGAACCTTGTTATCATCCATTAGAGTCCTCTTGCACCAGTGCTGCGAAGGCGTAAAGACAAAAGTGACCTGATCGTGGCCAGGGACACAATTCTCCTCCCACCAGTCCAGCTCAATGACATTCTCACAGCCACATTTTTGTATCCAGTCAAGGAGACCCAAAGGCACGAACCACCTCAGTTCATTTCCAAATCGCTCGTTCAAGGCAACGACAGAGTTGTAGTCCAGGTGGTCATAGTGGTTGTGACTGATGAGGACGGCATTTATCGGGGGGAGTTCCGCTACCGTGCACGGGGGAGGACGGAACCGCCTCGCACCCAGGTACTGGAACGGGGAGGCACGAGAGCTGAACATAGGATCTGTGAGGAAGATGAGCTCATCCATTTCGATCAGCAGCGTCGCGTGGCCAAGCCAGGTGACCCTTAAGCCTGCCTCCCGCACTCCGGCTTCTCCAGGGTCATCAATAAAATAGGGTTTAAGTACTGGGAGTTCTTTGTCAAGTTCCTAAGTGCATAAAGACGGAAAGACAAAACAGTAGTTAGGGACAAAAGGAATTATATCATCACAGGACATAATTTGACCTAAATTATAGTGAGAAGGGCTATTTTGGGAGAACAGAAGACATTCAATAAACTTGCTATTTCTGCTTTTCTATTGAAAATGCATACTTAAGTTCTTTCTGGATCTGTCTTAATTATAATATTATAGTACTTTTCCTAGTCCCAAATGCAACAGGCAAAGGGGAAATTAAATTTAATGCTTTGAATACTGCTAAATTTATTAATTTTTCTAAAGGCTGCTTCTGAAATGCCAGAAGTAGACTGGCCTAGACGTCACCTCACTGGGCTCCTGTATTTGCTGCTGAAAACAGCCCAGGAGCAGGCCAGCCCTTGGGACCAGAGACATTAATAACAGATTCACAGTTCCTGGATCACGGGTAAGAATCTGACTTTTTGAGTAAATATAATTCTGGGTGGAGAACTATCATGATTCCTCAGCACATCGCATTCAAAATTGGTTCTTCTGATTCGTCACCTTTAAGAGGTGGGCTGGGAAGAGAGGACAGATGGGGGAGAGGCTGATGAAGGAGAGTGACAGGGCAGGTGGAGGATGAAAACCATTTCCTCTACCCACACCGAGCCTCAGCTTCCTCACCCGGAAAAGACGTGTAATAACTGTACCTACAGTCAACTGCTGGGAGAAGTGAATTAGGAGCGGGGCTGGGGCGCACAGTAAGCATGCGGTGAGCGAACAAGGGCCACCCCAGCAACAAAGCACAAGCCAGGCTCATCAACCAATCTCTTCTACTTCTGCACAGCCACAAGGCTGCTGAGGGTCCCGCGGGACAGCCAGACTCTTCAAAGCTCTTCTGACTGCTCAGCTGTCTCTCTGCCATCTCCTGCCACCCACAAGAGCCACAGCTGTCCTCGTGCGCAATCTGCTCCTGGAGGACCTGTCCCCTGCAGGAGGTTCCCCACTGCCTGGCCACATCCACCCCACCTCCTTAGCTGCTGCCCCAGTCCGCCTCCAGCTGTGCCGCACTATTCATCCACAGGTACTCAGGTCCGAGCTCCACGGAAATGCTTCCTGCTCCTTGACTGACGGTGAGAGCCCTGCGCTGCGCTTGTCCTGGCTGTCCTCTCCCTCTCGTTCCTTTGAAACTCTGTAATCAGACTGGACACTCTACAAGGGGAAAATGAGAACCAAGACCTAGACCTGTCATGTAAAGGTACAAGATGCCAATGATGAATGTAGCTGTACTGTATCCCTAAAAGGTACCAATACGAAGCCGGGCGTGGCGGCGCACGCCTGTCATCCCAGCACTCGGGAGGCTGAGGCAGGAGGATCGCCATGAGTTCGAGACCAGCCTAGGCTACAAAGTGAGCTCTAGGTCAGTCTCAACTACATAGTGAGACCCTGTCTCAAAAAAAAAAAAAAAAAAAAAAAAAAAAAGTACCAATAAACTCAATGAGAGGAAAAAAAAAGAAAACATGATCTTGAAAAAAAAAACAAATTGGACACCCTTTCTGGGACCGCCCCTGAGCCTACATCGACTCCCACCTCTCAGCTCCCATGCCTCTCTGTCCACAAATCTCTAATATCTGGGTTATCTGTACGGGATTTATCCGGTCTTATGCAACTTGGAATCACTGACCCAGGAGTGGAAGTTCAGTCTGAAATAATAATCACACCTTTCTTCATTTCCCCTTATGTGCTGTATTGTTTCTACTCTGATCACTGGAGAGTAGCTTCCTTTTAAGAATTTGCTCTTTGTATTACCATCCCATAATATTCAAAGAAATGAAATCTCTAATTAAGATCCCAAAAAGAAAAAAATCACTTTTCACTTTCTATCCTCTTCACCAGAGTATCTCAAAGACCTCTCTTTTCACTAAGCCATAACTATTTCCATGGCACAAACATTAACTTACATTAAAAATACACAATGAAAAAACTAAACAATGAAACCCATATTCTTGCTGATATATTTGTGATTTTAAGAGTATGTATTTGTGTGCTTATATGTGATGGAAGAAGAAAGGAACTCGACTCAAACTGTTTAAAGTGTGCTTTTTATTTTATTTGTTTATTTTTGTTTGTTTGTTTTGTCTTGAGACAGGGTCTCACTATGTAGTTGAGACTGACCTGAAACTCACTATGTAGCCCTGGCTGGTCTCGAACTCACAGAGATCCACCTGCCTCAGCCTCCCAAGTACTGGGATTAGAGGTGCGCGCCACCATGCCCGGCTATTATCTGTTAATACAAAAAAAAAAAAAAATACAAAAGCCAGTCATGGTGGTGCACATCTGCAGTTCCAGGTAGTGGGGAGGCTAAGGCATGAGGATCACCTGAGCCTATGAGTTAACAAGTTCAAGGACAGCCTCTTAAAGTGCCCCCTCTTAAAAAATACATATATTGTGATACAGAATGGGAGGAAAGGTCATGTAGAAGCAGGACTGTTGCAGAGATGAGTTAAATTTGGTAATCCAGATTAGAAGTCAGTGACTAATGCCCCCAAATGACAGACTTTGCTTTTCCTTACAAATATGAAGACAAATTCCAGAGGACACAACTCAAAATGCCACAAGTCATTCCCTCTGGAGAGGGAAAATGGGTAGCAGGGGCCATTTAGAAGAATAAACTTTCCTTACAAACCTTTCCACACTGTCTTTTTTTAAACTACCTATATGCCTGCCTCTCAATGCCCTAGTTCAATCCCCAGTATCAATAAAAAACCCAAAAAAACCTTAAAACTACCTACAATTTTTTTCGTGCTAAATATTAAAAAGCAACCTATAGTACACTATTGTACAAGTTGATGTTTCTTTTTTTCAAAGTGCAAACTATTCTTTAATATCATATACACCTAAGAACACATTACATTTTCAAAGTATTTTCATGTGTCATGTGAACCGCAAAACAATCCTAGTGACTCAAACTAAGTTATTCTCACTTTATGGCCAAAAAAAAAAGATGAAGTCCGTAGTCTGTGTTAGTCAGCTCTCCATTCCCGTTATATCTGAGAGAAATTGACTCGTAAAGAGAAGAGGTTTCTTCTGTCTCACATGGGGGCTTCCACCCACAACCCCCTGTGTGTACCCGCATGTAGGAACCACTACGACAGCAATGGCACCACGGGAACGATGTGCAGCCTATGACCTAGAGGAGACAAATATCAGGAGAGGCCCACTGTTTTCTGACCAGGCAACTGAACTGTGTCGCCTGCTTATGACACACTTTTGCGTTATTTAGATCCATCGAGCAATCTATAATCAATTGTTTCTTCCAAAACACTTGCATATTTATATAAATATACTATGATGATATAAATAGCATAAAATATAATTGCCTTATATATATAATCATACTATTCTCTTTTCAAACAGTTTGAAGTTGTGGCTTAGTTATTAAACAACACTAGCTTCCCAAAGTCTAACAAAAACAATGTCCAAAATCTGGATTAAATTCTGAGTTGACCCAACAATATGAAGCAGGTGCTCATCCTAATGTGGTTTTTGATTTTTGTTTTGGGAAGTATAGAGCTCTATCACACCTAGGAATTGGTAAATGTTAATTGTGTTTGCAATTTATTCAAAGGGCTTAAACAGAGTTCCAACTGTCCCTAAAATAAGAGAGGTTAACATGCTTTTGATCTAGTTCCAGGCTTTTGCTGAAAATGAAGAAACAAAACACAGATAAGAGGGGCCGGGGATTTAGCTCAGTGGTTCCACTGCCTGCCTTAGCAGTACAAAGACCACAGTTCGATCCCTGGTACCAAACAAACAAACAAATATAAATAAAAGATCAGAAATAAAATATGAACTGGAATAGTATGCAGGTATCTTTTGTCTTTTATATGATGCCCAATTTGTTTTTAATTGGTATGTTTGTGTTTGGAGATACGGGGCCTCCCTTGGCATTTTGAAAAAATCTCTTGCCTTAAAAAGAAAAAAAAAAAGAAATGCAGCTTACATATCATTATAGAAGACAGCCCCACCTCCACCACTCTTCCTTATCTGCTTTATTATCCTCCATTGCACCTAACATTTATTTTTTTCCATACTAGGGATCGAACTTAGGACCTTGAGCTTGGCAGGCGCAGCATCACTGAACTACATCCCCAGCACCTAACATGTTTTAATATGTCACACAACTTACTCGTTTTGTTTATTATCTCTGTGTTCCACTAAACCAAAGGTCCAGGAAGGCTATGTCTGTGGCTCTAGCATGTAATACAGTGTGCTCAGCACTCAGTAAAAACTAGCTAAATAAATGAAGGAGAGAATGGGCAGGCTTAAGAAAAATCGATAAAATCCAAGGAAATATAACAAAAGGGAGTGTACCGGTCAGCTTTCCCATCGCCGGCACGAAATCCCTGATGCCAACAACTTCAGAGGACAGGTTCACTTTGGCTCACAGTTCCAGAGGTTCCAGCCCATGGTGAGTGGGCTCCATGGCAGACATCATGATGGAAGGGTGTGGAAGACGAAAGCTGCTCAACTCAGGGGTGTCGGGAAGCAGAGCAGGTTGGAGAGAGCCAGAGAGGAGGGAGCCAGATATAGTCCCCCAAATCACACTCACAGGGCCGACTTCCTTCACCTAGAAACCACCTCCCAACTGCCCATTTAGCCTTGAACTCATTAGCCCATCGATGAGGTCAGTGCCCTCACAATCCTGTCACCTCTCCAGAAGTCTCTTACTACAATCAATCAAGGTAACAGTCAAGATTAACTGGCATAAACCAGGCACAGGGCACCCACCCGTAAATCCAGCAAGCTGGGTGGCTGAGGCAGGAGGATCACAAGTTCAAGCCCTAGCTCAGACAACTTAGTGATTTAGTAAAATCCTATCTCAAAATTTTAAAAATTTTAAAAGAGGGCGATATGGAAACGTAGCTCAGTGCAAAAGCCCTGGGTTCAATCTCCAGTACCACAAAGACAGTAAGTACCACAAAGGAGGAAAGCAGAAAGAGAGAGATGGAAGGAGGGAAGGAAGAGTGAAAAGGAAGAGGAAGAAAGAAAGGAAGGGAGGGAAGGAGGCAGCAGGCAACAGGCAGTGAGTGGACTTTCTTATAGAAATGGACACATGATCAAAAGGGGTCGGTATCCAAAAGAGCTTAAGAACCTTGGCTTGGTGAGTCTTTGGAGATTCAACTCAATTTCTAGACTGTCAAACCATTAGAATGGAGAGATATATTTCTGCCTTCACGCAATCACTCTTCAAAATGAAGCAAAACTAAAGGTACCATTCATAACCTGTGCATATTCAGAAGCTGTGGCTGAAACTACAGGAAGAAATTTACCCACACACAGCCTACCCACCCTGGCCTTCTGCCCTAACCATGTTTCTCTTCATAAGAGGTTCAGCAGAAGGAAAAAACAGAATCTTTCTTATTCCTTCGTCCCTCCCCCAAAGCTGAAAACATAAAGTTTCATCTAACATCGTTCTGCTTGAAGTGCTTACAAATATGTATTACTGGGCTGGGTGGCAGAGATCAGTGGTGGAGAGCTTGCCTGGCATGTGCAAGGCTCTAGGTTTGTTCCCCAGCACTGCAAAGAAAAAAATAAACACATATAACTAGAAATAGCTATCATATTAATCCACTCTAGTAACTGGGATTAACACATTTCACGGCAGGGCCATAAGTCTTGCTGCCGGCCAGCTCTGATTTGAATTAGATCATTTCCGGGGGTACATGCATGACTGTCTCATCGGGCGGCTTATACTGCTTCTCGGGGGTCCTCAACTACAATAATGGAAGAAAGGAATTGATTTAGCGGACAAGATGTCATCATACTATATTCCTTAAAAAAAACATTAAAATGGGATAAATTAATTGTAATGCAGCTAATTTGTAGCACAGAAGTTGTAAATGCATATTACTTGTAAGATTTCCAAGTTAAAATGTAGAGGGTTTTTGAGAGTTTTAATTACTGATAAACTATTCACAAATATAAATAAATTTATTTTAATTTAATGAAATAAGTTTGTTCATTATTATAATATTTTAGTTGGTATAAATAGTATTAATATTTATATTTGGGCAGTAATCACTCAAATTCAAGCAACTAACTAGATTCAGCCCATTCGTAGACTTTTTATTAATTTTATTAGTAAAAAGACCAATGAAAGTGATTAGATCCATTTGCACCACTGGTGGTAGGGGCAGCCCCACAGGACAGCCATGCACATACCCCAGGGGTTCAAGCCGGGGAAATGTGGCAGTACTGCGAATGTTCCTAGCATCAAAGCGATACGAGGCTTTTAATACCATCTGCTTTCAAGAAAAATAAGCACATTTACCAAAGGAGAGGAGCTAACGCTAATACCCACAACCCACACACGCCCTGCCTCTCCCACTTTCCCCTGAGCCTCCACTCACAAAGCCCAGCTCCCTATCTCACCTTCCCCAAAGCCTGGCAAGGCAGGGGCTGGCAGGGAGGAAAAGCCAAGGAAGATGGTGGGAGGCTCAGAGAGAGATTAAGAGGGAGAAGATGCTACTGTACTCACCCGGGCTTGCCAAAGTTGATCTCGTTATCTAATAATCTCTACACCAAATGTTAACAAATTTCATCCTAAGTAGAGCAGAGCACTTAAAGGCCAGTAACCCAGAGTCAAGTTTTCAAGGTCTGAAAAGGTCATTCAGAGGTTTCTTTCAGAGCTTTGGCAGCTTTACCCAAGGATTAAAGGCTGGACCTAGGCTGTGCCGTACCCCTCACAACCCATATTCCAAGCATGCATCAGGTCACTACTAAGCTCTATCCAACACTGCCAGTCAGAATTAATTACTTCCTTGCCCATAGCTCAAAAAACACACTGTCCCTACCTCTGGTTTCCAGCACGTCAGAGGTGATCACTCAGATGTGTGCTGCTGCAGCTGGAACCTGAGGGCACAGGTGCCACCTTCACTGTGTCTCCCCAAGACCTACACAGTGCCTCCTCACAGACAGGGCTCAGGTAATCTGTAACCCGTGTGGTTCAGTGTCACAATGCAACCCAAAGCAGAGCCAAGTCCTGAGTAGCCACAGCACACACAGAAGACCCACACAGACGTTACCTCTTTGCAGCTCGGAACACTGCTGTGATTCTTCTCCGTGATCAGCCACTTAAGAGCATTGGAAAAGGACGGATTCTTCCATGTCGGCCACGGGTTCACAAACCTCCCGTCTTTCCCCTTCTTTGATTTAGTTACATCTTCCTCTAGTCTGTAATCCAGCTTGAAGCTTTTCTTGGACAACTTAGAAGAATCAGTTTCACCAGAATCCTGTGCTGAATTTTGTCCTTTTTGTGCTGCATCGCCAGGACACTGGCCACTTGTCACCCATGACTCGTTACTTTCATTTTCATCCATTTCCATTGAAGAACTGAAAAAAAAAAGGCACGAATGAGTTTAACATAAAAGCATTCAGACATATCACATAATATCTCTTGGCCAATAAAATTTTCCCCTAGCTTATAAAAATACTACGTCTCTATTAACCCATACTTTCTTCCCGTAAAATACAGTGTTGAAGTCTCCATACTGCTTCCTAATTAGAGATGTCTGACCTACCTATTCCCACACCAGCCAAGCCTTTCAAAACTCCTCTCTCTGCTGTAACCCAGAAAACATATCTCCCTACCTAGTACTGAAGCACAGGAAATTCTTCATTTCAATGATATTCTGTGAAATAAATTAAAAGGCCCTCATGAACCTGTAATATTTTCATTCCTGCATTTTAAGATATTACTGTTAACAATACACAGTAAGGGCTGCTTAAGCTCCTGAGGACCCCTCAGGAATTCAAGTGACTTAAAGATAACTACACTGGGCCTTCATTTTTACAATGAAGATAATCTGTTACCAATGCCCTTGGAAAGCGCAAGGAGTTCAAATCCCAAGAATGGAGATGACACATACATGAGAAACATTTCAATAACGTGGTAGCTGATTCCCAATATAATCCAAATCAGTTCACTCCCACACTCAGCGCTGCCCAGCGACAGTGAGGGCTCCACTCCTGCCAGCCGTGCTTCCTCACCTTCCGCTGTGCGTTCCCCAGACGACACAATGCATGCTCTAGAGTTCGGGGGAAGTTTCAGTCCACTGTACGGCTCCTCCTGGGCTTGGTGTTCTTTCCCTTTCTCCCCTGGGCAGTCATTTCTATTTAACCCCTACTGTAGCCGTGAAGACGATATTTGGCTTTCTATTAGTGTGTGTTACTGCCTTAGGGTTAGAAAGATGTGAGGTGTTCACATTGCATTTAAACCAACTAAATGGAAAGCAAATATTTCTTTAATACACTAGGAAAGAAATGAAACTCACAGCAGATCAATTCACACTCTTAATATATTATTTATCGTGTTTGTGTGTCTGCAGTCCTGTATAGTTCACAACATAGGCGACACCCAGCCCTTCTTATTCGAAGACAGGGTATCAGCTCAGTATGTTGCCTACACTGGGCTCGAACTTGCAATCCTCCTGCCTCATCCTCTCGAGTAGCTAGGACTGCAGGTGGACACCAAGACTTAACTGAATCAAAGGGGTTAGCACCAGTGACAAAAAGGGGAAAAACAAAATAAATGAGCGTGAACAATGAAGTTAAATCAGGAGGTTAGATCCAATTTAGGTGGTTGAAAAGTCTGGCTACCTGGAAGGGAGAAATAAAGTGGGAGGGGATCAGAAGTAGCCACACCTGCAGTCGAGGTGGGTTTCTGACCAGCGAGCCGAGGTGAGCTGGAGATCCCAAGGAAGCAGCAACCGAAGAGGACAACCTCACTGACACCCACGGAAACAGACACCCGGGATCCAGGCTGCCCTGAGTGCTGAGAGCGACCATGACACCAGAGAGACCCAGAGAGGAAAAGGAACGGAAAACAGATCCAGTGATCTCTTTTCTCCCTAGACAACAAGGATTTCAAAACTGTCCTCTCAGTGTTACCTCCATGTTCTTACCTCCCACCCAACATGGGCTTTAGGGCTCTCTACCAAACCACCATTCTCTCTAAAGACCCCCCCATACCCCCTGCACAAGCACAAAATCATCTTCAGGAGCAATGTTTTACTGGGCAACTCCAATTTGAACCAAAATACAAAGGAAAGCCCTCCATGGGCTTCCAGAGGCGCAAGATCCCCGTATCGCCTCTGCTCCCAGCACAAAGCCATCATCTGTTCTCTTGGATGTGGGGTGCTCCTGCCCGGGGACCACTGAAAGCTATCACAGGCCTGGATCTATGATGCTTTAGCATCTGTGAGATGGAAAAGGGGTGTGGGGAAATGAATGGTGACAAGTTGTGCGCTACTGTGAAAGATGTCAAGTGACGCAAAACGATGATGCTATGAAGCACTATCTCACAGAAGGAGCAAAAGCGTGGACCCGGAGCCCCGGATCTGGCCAGGTTCTTCTGGAGGAAAGTACTGGAAGGCCAGCGGGTGAAATGTGACAGTGACATACTCTGACACCAGGTGGCCCAGCAAGCCTCGGCCCATGCGGACACACAGCACCTGCTGGGGCCGGTTCCTGGGAAGGCTCCTGGCAATGCCAGCCTTCAGGTCCCTCTGGAGAGGACCCAGCCTCAGTCTCACGAGGGACAGGTGTGCACAGTAAAGCTAGCGTGGCATGAGCCAGAAATGAAGACCAGTGAGCTACAGGTAGGATCCTGACATGAGCTCACTGCCTTTGAGCTTTTCAGGTTCAATCTCTTACCCAAAGGACAATATAAACTCCATCTAGTAATTATCAAGCACGTTTTCTGCATTTCTCTGGAGATTAAATGCTACTTAAGAGCAAAAGACTGACCCCTTAGGCATCTAACTGAGAGGTCTGAGCTATGACATCTGGCATAGACAAGTCAGCCAAGCACAAATATTTTATTTCACTAACCGCACACATGGGCAAAATGCTTTCCAAAAACAAGAATTCTCAATTTAAAAGCAAATGTTTCATGCTTTCTCTCTTTGACATTTAGGATTTGCCAAGTCCTTAGAATTGAAAGTGCTGCTTTCTCACTTAAAAAGTTGAAGGAAAAAAATTACAATAGTTCAACACCAATGTATGTTAGGGGTTGCAAGACAGTCATAAATTATGAAGTAACAATTCAGCATTTCCAGAGCAGACATTTAATAAATACTAATTGAGCAACTTAGAATTACAATAAACAAACCTGGAAAGTATTCAGACTGTACTTTCATCTATTTCTCACTGAATGACCATTAACAATTTCATATTTGTTTCCTTATCCTTATTGAAGAGAAGGAGCTTCGGGATGTTGTTGCTGTTGTTGGGGGGTATCTGCTTGTTTTCCGAGGCAGCCCAGGCTGGCCTTGCTGGGACTCTGACTGGGGCACGAACACAAGCAGTCCTCCCACCTCAGCCTCCAAACAGTGGATAATGAAAGGCGGAATGTTCTGTGGGAGGCGCGCACACAATACACATCACTAAGAAGCACTGCATTGTCTACCACCGAATTTCATTTTTAACTCATCCTGCTGACTTAGCCAGTTTTGCTAAGAAGCTAGAGGAACACAAAGCAAAGAGAAAGCTTATTATACAGTACCTAGGAGCACAGTAAACCAAAGTTATGATGTCTTTTTTGGAGCAGGGCTACGAGTGCCTTCATACTAAGATACTTCCCCAACCCTTTTTTATTTATTTGAGACAGGGTCTTACCAAGCCGCTAAATTGTCCAGGCTGAGCTTTAGCTTCCAATCCTCCCGCCTCATCCTCCCACAGCGCTAGGATTATGGGCATGCAAATGATAACTTTTTAAAACAAAAACAGATTAATGTACATGCATTGCATATACTTAGATATCCATACACATAATATAAACCCATATATCTCACCAATCAATTTATTTTCACAAGAGTGGAAAAAACACTTGTGGGGAGACACCTCCCCCTTCACTAGAGGTGTTAGCTTGTGGAAAGTAACAGCCTCTACACACCTGGGTGGGGCTGCTTGTCTGTTAAACGCATCCCTGAAAACTGCAAAGAGCAGGTGACACTGTGGATTAGTGCTTCAAATGCTACACAAATGCCAAGAGCCAGCTTTACTATGATTTATGTTGAGTAAAGAGTATCTGATGAATAAGACCTTTGGATCCAACTGAGTTGTTCTTCAAATAAATATTCTAGAATATCGGATAGAGTTAAAAGCCTAAATTGCTGAAAAATTTCCATTTTTCTAAGAATTTTTATGCAACAAAACACTATGAAAATATGTTTATCTTTTATAAAAGCACAGTATTTTCTCCTCTTAAAAATAACTCAATTTGCCTCATAAAAGTGCTTATCTGATTATAGACAAAATATTACTCATATAAACAATTCACAAAGGATGCTAACTAATCAATAGCATAAAAGACTAAATAGAGAATTTTGAAAGGACTGAACGCAAAATACAAGTAGACTCTTTGGGATACAAATTTGAGAACATGTTTTCATTCAAAATTTAGTCAAAGATAACAAATGTTCAAAATCTATGAAAATTCTTAGCTATTAGACAGAATTCAATATACTGAACTAAAAGTCACTTCATGGGCTATTAACAGATTTCACATCACCAAATTCCATAAACATCCTCTATAATAAGAAGTTTTCCTATGTGTAAATAAGTAAAGCTTTAGATAGAACTAGAAACAAGTAAACAACCGGCTGAAGAACAAAGCTCAGCCAGGCACGGTGGCACACACTTGCAATCCCAGTGCTTGTACGGCTGTGGCAGGAGTACTGCCATGAGTTTGAGGCCAGATGGGCTACACACTCAGATCCTATCCAAAAAAAAAAAAAGCAGCTATTTCTTTCTCCCTTTATTTTTTAAAGATTGCATCAGATTTTATGCATATGGCTGTTTTATAAAAACTAGCAGATCCAGTTTTTCACATTTTTAAAGAAAATCTTACTTTATTTTATCCCATTCTCCCCCCTCAAGCCACCTCCTCTCCCTATGTACAAAAGCTTTGTTTCCACTTTTCCTTCTACTTTCCCTTTTTTCTTGTCCCTTCCTTTCTCCCTCTCTCCTCCCTTGTTCCCCTTCCCATATGAACACTTTCTTCCCATTTTCCAACATCCATTATACATCTCAGTCCTTATTGCCACATTCAGTTTCTCCCACCAGAGCAACAATGCGGTAATTAAACATTCATGTCTAATTTATTTCACTTAAGAGTATGGTCTCAAGGTCCATCCATTTAGCTATATAAGTCTGAAGCTCATCCTTCTTTATGGCAGAGTAGTACTCCACTGTATTAAAAAACACATCTTCTTTATCCATTCATCAGTTGATGGGCACTGGGGCTGTTTCTAATATTTAGCTATTAGAAACTATGTGGGCCGGGGATTAAGCTCAGTGGTTCCACCACTTCAAAAGCACAAGGACCCAAG